GTGTCAGTGTGTGGTACCAATCCCATCACTGCCAACAGGGCAGAGTACTCACCCATGACCCAGGTGCCCAAAAGTCCAGCTGCAGTTCCCTGGGCCATGAGGTCTCCCATCTTGCTCCTCCTTCTTTAATGAGATTTTGAAATGTTTTGCCAAGAAGTTTTGCTCTTTTCTGGGTGTATTAAATTTTTTTATTACTGATTTCAATCTCTTGCAGAAATATAAAATCCTGCTAGGAGCAAAGCTGTGACAGAATAATCTTAATTTTTACAGGGTTCTTTCACTACTTCATTGTTATTTGAATTTAAATTTTAAAAAAGTTTCTCCATTGTGAATGTATTAGGTTCATTTGGAGTATAACAGAAGACAGAATCTATCAAAAATTTTTTTTTTTTTTTAAAAAGACTACGGCAAGGCAAAAGCCTGGTCATTAGTCCTAGGAGGGAAGAGGAATTCAGTAGAAAGGAATGGCCGCTTCCAGCTGTACATGCAAACTGTTGCTATTTCCCTGGAGTTCAAAAGACACAATGCTAATACCTGGTGAATTGCGTCAGGCTATATACCTGACTTTTTTTTTTTTCATTGCAGTTGGGCTGATTTAGGCAGAGGAAGGTTATTGAAACAATATAGGTAGGAGCTCCAGGAGAACAAATAAGAGAATCAAGGCATTGGACCCAAAACATGGATACTTCTAGATTCCTTAAAGCTTTAACTTTGTTTGTGCTTCTGCTGGAAGCTATTTTGCTTGTTACTTTTTCTTGCTTTAATGGAAGTGAGAATATATACACATATGGACCTGTCTGAAATCCGAGTTGTGAATTTATCGTATGAGTTCAGTAGCCAGTGTTCAAGCATACATTAGTGTGAGCTGCGGAAAAGGGAAATGAATATGAACTTTGCTAGCTGAGAAGAAGTTTTAATGCATGAGGTGCTGTTGGGGATTCAGAAAACATGGATTTAGTTTCTGATCTATCTACAATTCCCACTTCATATGTAGCACATCACTTCAGTGCAGTTAGAGCTGGAGGTGCTTGGATACAATTGTGGTGATGAGTATTTTCACTGAAAGCTTTTTGCTGTGACAACAATATGGTGTTAGAAATCATGTAGTTCTCAGTGTCACTAATGTGGTCTGGGCTAAGAGAATCCTCTTTTCCCAGAGGGTATTGGCAGAACATCTAGGGTTTGGAAAGGTGCTAATATTAAGTGACAAAAGTACAACTGCCAATTCCCAGGCTGTGAAGCAGCGTCAGACACTGTCAGACAATGATAAAGAAAGGACATGGAAAGCTCCACCTGACCTTAGTAATTTTCAGAGGTACCTATGAATGTGTTTGTGAGGGTTTCTGATGCTTCTTGAAATCCCTGAGAGTATTTCAAGGGTAACAATTTTCACTGCAGCAGTATTGCAGACTCTTCCCTTCCTGCTCTTGCGAAACTGGGCTGATCCTGGCTGCGCATACACTGCCTCATCTCCCTAAGCAGGAGAGACCTGACTGCTCCGATGGCTGCTCGTTCCTGTCATCTCTGACAAATATAAAATCCAAATGTAAGTGGCTGAAGCACTATGTTGCTTAGTCAACAGTTGCTTAGTTGCCTGATTAACAGGAGGCTAAAGGCTGTAGGTAGTACCAAAGTGATACTGACGCAATAAAAAGCACAGAAGCTATATTGAATACATGTATGTTCTTTACTAAAAGTTTCGTGTAAAGATCAGTATACTAAAAATCGAAGCAAAAGAGATGACTACAGAAATACAGTATTGTTATCATATAGCAAGAAACAGCGTGTCGAAACAGTTTCTGTCTGATATTAATCATGTAATACATGAAAGGCCTGTGTTAAGCCTGTTTTGGGACTGGCATTAAAATTATGCAAGAGTTTAGGATAAAATCTGATAGGAGGATATGAATTTCTGAAGAGGAGCATCAGGAGACACTCTGTCAACTTTGCTGAGATTTATCCGGGATCTTAAATATCCTCCAAGAAATGAAAACATGTTCTTACTGCATCATTACAAGAAATCTTAACACTGTTCCAGTAGTAGCCGCAGAAGCTTTTAGAGCAGCTTTAGAGCTATAAACTTCTCTTTCTAGTATTGTCTGTTTGCAGAGGTATATGGGTTGGATTTATAAGCTTTTTTCCCCACAACTTTGTTGGATATAATCTAGTTAAAAAGATTAATAAGTAGAAAATTCTAAGCCATTCTTGCAAGTGATTGTGGTAAGGTATCACTGAAGGTAGCATACACTACTTTTAATTCACAGTTTGTTTTTCGAAGATATTTGTTTATAATGAATGACATAACCTATTTAGTGGTAACTTAGAAAAATGCTACAGTATGGAAGTGTATGTTTTGGTTGGCTTCCATGTCCGTGTGACAAAGAAGCTGGGATTATTTTGAAGGGTGAGTCCCTCATTGTGAACTCTCTGTAGTGTGGTAACTAGATGACTTGACTTTATAAAGCAGTATACCACAAGAGGGAGTAAACAGCTATTTCTAAGTAACGCTGCTATATACAATCCAGATCGCAATGCTAAGGATGTGTAACTGTTACCAAAAGAAGACAGACTTTGATTAGTTTTCTATAACCTTAGTAATGCATTTCTACCATGAGGTAAAATACAAATCTCCCATTTTCATCGGAGGCCTACTTAAAATTAGTTTATTTTGTAAACCACAGATAGAAAGTTAGTGGAAGGTCATGAAATCCCTGACAGGTTAAAAGCCAAGCAGGTTGAAAGGATTTCCCAAAATGCTCAGAAACTGGAAGCATCTGTAACAGAGTAGGGGCTTGCCTGCCAGATGTGAAAAGCCCTCTGTGCTTGTCTTCAGAAGAACCTTGAGGTTTGCCATGTTACAGGTAAAAATGATTCACTTTCAGAAAAAAAAAAAAAAATCACATTTGCCTTCTAATATTTGTTTATGAGATTTCCCCCTCCACCTCCCCAGTAGTAGCCTGAAGTAAGCGGGTCTGGTCCCAGTGCCTTACCCTGTTCTAGGCAGGTCTCCAAGAGCTGCAGGAAGACACAGCTATGAAAGCATGTCCTATTCTGCATAAATAAACCTCTGTGCTTTCCTTCACTTTTTATTCTCCTGCCAATAAAACTGACTGGTACATTTCTGTGTTGGTTTTCATTTCTGGCCCCTAATAGATGGTGTAGAGTTCTTCTCTTATTGCAGGATACTTTGCATACCACAAAACTGTTTACACTAGTACTTTATACAGAGGAATAGTTCTGTCTGTTAAAAATTCAAATGTGAAATATAGCCTACTTGCAGCCAGCAATTTTGCTATGCAAAATTGTGAATTTTTGTTGTTTGGGTATAGTATAGTGACAATATTGAAAATCTTGCTGAACTGCAAAAGAATTCTGTTATTTTAGCAAAATACATACTTACTCTCATCTACTTAGCAAAAAATGCATACTTACCTTACCGCATTATGTGCATATGACTCAGTAATGGTGTAAATTATACAGCAGTAAGAACCATATAATTACTTCCCATCTAAGTATTAATTATAATTGTGTCAATCTTTGGAGTGTTGAATGATGATTACAGTTGAAAATTATTTAGTATTTACAGAAAATCTAAGTGCAATTTTAATAATTTGGATGATGCCTTCTTTTAAACACAATTATATATTTACTATACTCATTTTTACATATCCTTCAGTGGGGGTAGTAAACTGAAGTCCACTTTATCAGGGTAAAAAAATTTTTTTTTTTTTTTTTTTTTGGCAGTGAAAATACCTCTAAGAGATTTAGTGGAGAAGAGCCTCTCATAACTCTGCTAACTAATACTGGTTGAAGATGTAGTTTAGTCCTTATGATGTGGAGATAGTGTGCTTGTGTGCCATGTAAGATTAAACTCTCACATCTGTAGTTTACCTCTGCTGTTCCTGCTAGTGTGCATCTCCAACTTGTATGCATTTATCATACGAATGTGTGAGAAGACCAGGTATATGAACAAAGGCTAGATTTGTGGGTAGCAAAATTTCAGTGAAAAGGATCGTGCCTAATAAAAGAGGTTTCTGCACAAAGTGAGGTTCTTTGTTACTGTGCATGCCAAGTCCAGCATCTATTATTTACATCACATTAATGCAATTACTAGAGGTCAAGGTCCTTTGTAACACTACAGGTTCCTTACTGAAGGAAGAGATCAGTTAGTGCCTGAAAATGCAGTCATGCGTGGGAATTGGCACGAAGCATCTTCTGGGATTCCAGACACTACCCTTCCCTTGGCTATTTCAAGTCCCTGTGAAGGGCATGCAGCTCCCAGCCCTGCACACAGCTGTAGTACAGCTTCCATAGGTAAAGCCAATTGCTGTTTGGGGATTCATTGCCACCTCTCCATCGCTTGCTGCTGGTTTCTTTTGAGGAAGACTTACAGCAGGCTTTGCGATGGTCTGGAAAGCCTGGTACTGGCCAGGCTTTCCAAAGGAAAAATGTGACTATCAAAATATTATTCTCCTTTTTCTTTTGCCCTTATATGGTACTGATAGTCATGTTTTGCAGGCAGTGTTCTATCTCTGTCTACTGAAATACATATTTAGACAAAGAATTATTTAAAAATGCTTTGTTGCCAAGACACTGAATGAAATGTACTAGTGACACCTACAAAGACAACAAAATGCTCTTCTTTTTCCTTCTGCTCTAAAACATGCAAAGTATCATAAAATCAACAAGTAGGCTTGACTGGATAACATGTATCTACATTAAGAGTGGCTGATTTCAATGTGTTTTGAAATGCTTCAAAAGGTCAGATGCACTGCTTATCACTGCTGCTCTTTTATGCTGTGTGATGTCATGGAACACTCTGAAGCACAAAGAGGGAAGTTTAGGTAAACTTTCAAAATTCACTGTAAAAAATAAAATCCCATTACATCCCTGTTTAAAGATATAAAATAGGTAAAACTTTCAGAGGTTTTATTCTTCCATTTAAATGTTTTTGTCGGTCTGAGTTCTTCAGAAGAATTGAAGGAAGGACCCACTTTTATTCACATGATTTGGTTCAGAAGGGTCTGATAGTCAGTGGAAGAATTTTTCAGTACTTGCATTGGAACAAGTGGGATGGGGATATTCTGTTCACACACCACTGTCTCGTACAGGGGAGCAGCCTCCACAGCGAGAGATGACAAAGAGATGGATGAAATGGGCTGCTGCAAGTCCTGCAGCCTGACTGCATAATTTGCAGCCTGTCCTGTAGTCCCAGATGCTGCTTCCTCTTCCAGGCTAATGTTTATAGATATTTCATTTCTTTGACAAGGGTCCGTGAGAGAATATGGGGGGGGATCATCTGTGGGAATATATATTTGAGTTGCTCCTGGCCCCACGCATTCATCGTAGCTGAAAGAAAAAAAGAATTTTTTATTAGATTCCTGTGAAAAATGCCACAGTACATTATTTTCAGCATAACAGGGGCAGGTAAAGTAAGAAGAAAAGGATTGTCTGGTGTTTTGTTCCTCAGCCCACATCCTTGCTTACCCTGCCATGTGAGACACTCGAGAGCATAATACTTAAAATCACATCTCCATATACCTAAAGATAATCCCAGAGGTCTCAGTGAAAGTTCAGACCCCATCCTCCTGCATGAAAGTAACATGTGGCAGCATCGTTTAGCTGAGGTGCCTGGGGATAAGCCCAGATCCTTACAGCCGGTTACATAGGAATGGGAGGAATAACACTGCTGGCTCACACAAAGCTGTGCATGCTGTACCAGTTGCCATAGGTGCAACATTCTCAACTGCTTGTAAGTAGCTAAATTAGAAAATGGCTGGGGAAAAAGGAAGTGGTGTTGCCATTTTACAGTTATGAAACAAGGTATAGAGAGCTTTAGATGGAGTCTGAAGTAGAGGATCATGTTAAATGCTGTCCTCCTGACTCGCAGGTCTCTGGTGCTCAGCCAGCAGTTACATGCGGTGGGTTGTCTGGGTTGCAGATCTGCACTGGCAGGGGCAGCAGGATTTCTTGCTGAGGTGCAGAGCTGTGATGGATAATCTTGAGAGACTCGTGCTGGTCATTCTGAGACTCGGCAGACTACCCGTCACGTTCCTCCCAAAAAGGAGGATTTGTGTGGTTTCCGCGAGGAGCCAGCTCAGGTCTATCCAGGCTTTGTAGTTCTGTCTGTGCCACCAAGCTAGAGCCAGGGGAAGCTATTACCTCCTCACTTCACTACCATGCTCCGTGCTTGCTGTCCCGTGTGAATGCTGACAAGCACCTTAGATTGGAGCTTGGACTGCACAGCCTAGGGAGGCCCACGAGGGATAAATAATGAGCTTGGATAGACCAGCATGTCTTTGTGCTTGTGTTTTGTTCTCTGTTGCAGGAAGAGGATGGGAACGGACAGAATGGACATGAGCAGGCTCCATGCGTTTGTACTGTGCTTCGGTGGCACTGCCCAGCCCTCTGCTAAGGGCTCTGCAGAGATTGCACTGTGGCCCCAAGGAGGTCTGAACCAGAACTGGTGAATCTGGTTTGTTATCTGGATGGTCCACTGTCTGGCTGTACTAGCATCACCTGTTTGTCCACAAACTGAAGCTGACTCCACTTTTGCTATCAAACCAGCCCAGGTCTAGTGGTCTGAAGGAAGGTCCTGTTTTCCTGGCTCACTGGCTATAGGCAAAAGTGAAGAAGAGTCATAATACCATGATCTTAAATGTTGGACCTGCTTTGTTTGCGGCTGCCTTGTTTAACTGTTTCAGGATCATTTTAAATCCAATTCTGAAGGAGGGAATTTTTCCTGTAAAAAACCTTCGCCTACTCAGTTAACCTGAAAAACAATTCTGCTGGAGCCAGACAAATTAAGAACCCATTTCCTCAACCACACTAACTGCAGAGCTATTAAGATCTAGGATATTTCCTGAAACTTAGGATATTTAGCATATATCTTCCCAGTAGACTGCAGGCAGTCATTCTGCCCCCTGTAATTGCATTACTGCCACGCTAAACCCAAGCTAATAAACCCTACTTGTAGATTATAAGTGGCTTGCAGCAGGGCAGCTTGCATTGGTTAGAGTGAACTCAAATCTACTGCAATCAACCATGGAGGCCCTGCCTTAGAAAAATACTTGGTTCTGCTGCACTCATTCATACCTTTCCCTCAGAGTGTTCCTGATGATTTTGATGGTATTGTTCCTAGTCCAGGTGAAGGAAGTGGTTTTTGAGCAAGGGAAAGGTAAGAAAGTGAAATCTTAGTACTAGGTTACTAAATAACTCAAATATCCACAGGTGTTTTTATTTTTACTTCCCTTTTATCTTATTTCTATATTCATGAGGACAATGGTTTTAAATTCAGACTAGAAAATTTTGATTTCCCTATCAGAAAGAATGGTATTTTAAAACATAACTCTGTTCTGAAGATCCTGAATAGGGCTGCTAGATACTTCAGAAACAAGTCCCGGCACGTAGGAGGTCAAATTGTTTTTGTATAGCATGTGGAAAAGATTTCAGTCCAGCCTCCACTAAGCCCACTGAAGCTTTCAAGCATACCTGATACTATTTTAAAAGATCTTAGACCTCTATCAGAGATCGAGGACCTGATGTCCTCAACTCTTCATGAACTCAGCGAGAGTAAAGGAAGAGCCACTCTTTGCAGGATTACTTACTATGAGCGGCATCTTTACTTAATTTACATTTTGCTTACCCAAAGCCCAGTGAATTTATTTAAAATCTTTCCACAGATTTTGACAGACTTAATCAGGCTAATGAAGAGCACCTACTGGGTCCTGTTACCATAGTAGAAGTGTTTCAGTTTTGAGAAGCCTACAGTAATGTGAGTTTCAAAGTGGAAAATTTTGAATCCTTTTGCTGAGACAAAAGGGAAGAAGCTTCTCTGTCTCCTGGTTCTGGGCCTGGGCCCAGTGCAAAGGAAATCTGCCACAGATCTAAAGGAGAAATGGGCACAGTATGAACCTTCTACTTACTGTTGTTATCTGATCATCTGCATTTCTTTCCCTTGGACTTAATTTAGTATCTTTCATGGACTGTAGCTTAGCTGTGTAGAACTAAAATGCTTGGTGGGATAAATAGCAAAATGGTCTTTTGTGAAGAAGACTTTTAACAATCAAGACAAATGGGTAGCAAATCATAGTATTCAGACCTGGCATTTTAGTGTTTAGTTCCAAATATCAATATATTAGTGTTAGGGCACTTTTTCTTCATATATATGATGGATAAAAAATAATTCTCTCTTTTTCTCCAAACTCCAGTGCAAGTAATGTTTCCCCCTCTCATTTTTGGCAATTAAGTTCACATTTTAAAAATCGAATAGGGCAGTAAGGAACACATGCCAGATTTTCAATTAAGTAACTTTTTGGCACCTTCACAATTGTACCTACAGATTGTTACAGCCAAAGAGGCAACTACAAATCATTCAAATAGCTTTTTTTTTTTTAAAATAATTTCTTGTATTTCATTAGCAATTTATGATCTTGATACTCAGTTTCCCTTATTCTCTTCTAAGCATGGTATCTTTGCTTGTAATGCTGACACTGCAAACAACTATTGCTATGATACTAGTAGTGGAGGCTACAGATAAGGTTCCTAGCATTTTCTGTTGAGTATAGAAAGGAGATGAATTAGGGTCATACAAGCAACTTTAACTTTGTATTTTTTTCCCTAGCTTCTGGGTGTTTTGTGGTTGGGTTTGGGTTTTTGGGTTGGTTGGTTGGTTTGTTTTTCCTCTCTGTTTAACAGCCTCAGTAATTTGGTTGTGCTTTCAGAGTGCTGTTATAGAGGTATTCCTGTAGTATAACTAGTGAATTATCAACACTACAAGCATGAATTCTATTTTGCAGACAGGAAAGCACAGTCTGTCCTTCAAAGAGACCATAATATGTAAACTTATGCACCTAGTATTTACCAGATCTTTTTTTATTAGAGGATTCTAAGCAAGTATTATAAGAAGTAATACATAGTTTGACAGACACCCACTGTCCATGTATGTTGGTGGTTGGAAAATCATTCCTCAAAAGATTTAAAGGATTATTTATAAAAAGTTGTAATAGCAATCATTTCTTGCAGTTGATTACCGTGTATTGATGTGAGTGATACTGAACTAAATCCTTACTGTTGTCTTAAAATAAATCTTCACGTTTGAGGAGAAGAGGTGAATGGACTCTTGCATTTTACTGCAGTGAGGTGTGTATCACAAACTAAGTGGTACTGCTAAGTTGTCCTGCAGTGTGAGGTCTGCGCCTTTGACACATCTTTTAGGTTTCTTTCTTTTTACTTGCAAACAGTGCAAACTAGAATAGAATGAAGGAGCTGCTTTCTCATCAGCTAGTATGGAGACCTCAATACCAGAGGGGCCAAGATGTACTATGTAATGATGGCTACCACTAAAAAGAACCAGTGCATCCATAACAATCAGGAATAATGATTCCTAATATTAAAATTATACTGTTACATGCAAGTCACTTAAGTATGGTAACTAATGCTGTTGATTTAATCTGAAAAGGTGGCAGCTGTAAAGCTGTGGTTTCAATATGAGCCAATGTCCATATCACTGAAAGGAAGTGTCCCTTGCCCTGTTGCATACTTCCACTGTGTTCCTTGTGCTTCTTCCTCCAAACCATGACCCCCAATCTGGAGCTGAATAGGCAAAAAGGTTGTATGTGTGGTGTTTTTTGTGTGTGTGTGTGTGGCTTTCTTGGAGGTTTTTGTTGGTTTGTTTTGGTTGGGTGTGGGTTTTTTTTTGTGTGTGTGTTTTTTCTGGGCTGGATTTCTACTGATTTAGCTACCTAAGTTGGAAGCTCACAGCGTAGTCAGATGGGCATCAATGCAACACAAGGGAAGTATAAGACATGAAGTGAGGTAGGTCTTAGACCACAGCTCACAGGCAGAACTTCTTAGCCATATCATAAAAGTGCAACCTCAGTAACTGCTAGCTACATGTATTTGTGTATATATATATGTTTTGCAACTGAAAATGCAAGAGCATGGAGCTTGCATGACTTAAGTGGAAAAACAAAACTACTTGCTAGTCTCTTGCAAAAAATACAATGATAGTTGTTTTATCTAAGAGATTCAGTTCTGTGAAGTTATTGTACATGTAAAAAGTAGCTGGTGCTTGAAGTTTAGTACGGCAGTCACAGGAAAATCCTTTTAGACAAGAAAGCAAATGCTTTTGAAAAGTATTATGTTACTATAACTTAATAATGGACCGCAGGAACTCATTACACTGCATCTCATGAATATCATGTGTCTCTCTTTCAGCTCTGAAACAAATCCTTGGTTGCATCCTTGGTTGCAGTACTTGCGGTGAGTTCACTTTAATCCATTATTTTTTTTAAAATTATATTATCTTAAGGTTCAGTGTATCTTACAGGGGTTACTGACCATGAAAT